AGGAGTTTATTGATTAGCGATTGGTCCAGAAGTCAGAGTTCCAAATTTTTTACACACAACTCGCAGTCAGCCAATGAGCCCTACTTCAATTATTTAATACTTAAATAAATCTAAAACACTTCCTCCATTTTATTCCAGTCTTTCTAAATTTTCAGCCACTTACTGCAAACAACATATATATTCTGTTCTTTAAGGTCTGGTTTCAAAATCGCCGTGCAAAATTCCGACGACAAGAAAAGCAAGATAATCCCATCGCAGAGATGCCACCTGTGAAACAGGGCCAAATCCCGTCCTGGTACGTAATTGCACCAAATAACTAAGCAAAATATATTCCACCATGATTTCAGGTCATGGATGGCTCAACAATCTAATAACAACAGTAACGAGGAGTTCCCATCTTCGTTTGCCTCATTTGATCAAAAACCATTTTTTGCTGATCTCAAACCCTCATTTATGAGTTATATGCCATATCAAACATTTCCCAGTGGAGGCTTTAGCACAGGTACGTCATTAAGAATGAGTTAGCCTAATGAACTTTCCACTCCTACAGTAAGCCTTATACTTTCTTCAAGGTCTTACACCAGTCGGTCTACCGAATGGTCTTCCCACGCCAACCGGTTTTCACCAGAGTGCCCCGCCATTTCAGGTGCTACCGTATTCTACAGAGAATCACCAATTAGAGCATCACCTGGATTCATTTCCCAATTTGGCGTAAATTGAAATTTGTATAAATTTAAGTCTTATGTACGTGAGTAGTAGTGAAATTGAATGAAGATTCTACTTGTAGTGTTTTGTGGTGCTTTCTAGCCCAAGGTACAAAAAACCTGTACTAGGTCATTCCGTCATTTTTTAAAATGTGACTCAAAAGGACGAGAAAATATTACAAAGTCGCAATCAGTTACTAGTTAGACTTAATGTGATACTATGGACCTTTGAAATGGACCGCTATTTGGAATATTTCCAATCCAGTTGATCTGACATTTTTAGACTAGATGTCCAATTTCCCCTAAGTGATTTAATTTTGGAATTACCTAATACGATTCCCCTGAAAAATTGAGCCAACAACATCTTCAGAGCTGATTTGGTACTCCAGCAAAATTCAAGGGAAAAGA